TCCTAATTCTTCTATACCTTTTCGAAGCGTTCTCTTGACCTTCCTTTCTGACTGACGCCAAAACTGTCTAACGTCAATCTCACCGTTACCGGGTATTGACACCGTTTCGAAATTGCTTTGGGATTCCATCTATATAATAGGAAATATCTTATACCTAATTCCAGACCCTTTTCAGATCCTCGTAGTCATACTCACAATCCTGACAATGCCAAAACAATTTAACCTTAGTCTCAAACTTCTTACCACATCCACAATCATAACTGCTCATACATTTCGTCTTCATCTTCAAATGCTTCTTCAAGTCCACTTCTTTCTTAAAAGTTCTCTTACATTCTTCGCACTCCATATATAGACTAACATATTTAACTACATAGACACGGGATGCGGGTAATCGCGGTACGAATCGAGGAATTCACTTTAGACGGGTAATCCTCCGGTSGTCGTTGCGCTGGAACCCCCATCCCCTATGCTACTTTGGCGCCAAACCTCAACGTTCCGGTTGACTAACTTCAACGTTTCGGCCGCCAGTTAGAACATGTTTTAGTGTCTGGTGTTCACCCTTAGTTGCAAACGTCTGTACTTCGTTGGTTTCTTTCTAAAAAATAACTTTTTAACGCGACGAAGTGAATGTAGCCTCGAATTAACGTTATCAAATGATTAACTGAGTAGTCCGGCAGTTGAGCAAACTTTTCGAATATTTCGAACGCGTAGTAGCACTATATCGATTGTTTTAACAGTAAGAACATTTTGTAATCACACCTTTTTACCATACATAAAGTAACATCCGACTAAAAGCGCCGAGCGATTAAGATATGACGTCGTATGGAAAGATGGTTTTGATGCCATAAAGAATGGTTTTACACAAGATAAGTTTTCGCGCAGAATTTTTAGGTTAAAATTTTTTATGGCGCGCGCGGTAACGCAAATTGGTGGCAACAATGTGGTAACAAAATATCGTTACGTAACCGCGCGCCATTCGCCGTTGCAAATCATCTTAATGAAAAAATACAAACACCAGAGCCGTAACCAGGGGGGAGCACAGGGTACACGTGCACCTCCCACAAAAGGTCAAGGTCCGCTCATCTATCTCCTTTTGCTTTAAAATTGCATGTAAATGTTTTTTCATTTAATTAAGACCACTTTCATCTGCATATTGTAGCATCTTTAGAATCACTCACCCATTATCCTTTTTTTTTTTGGTTCTGCTTTATTTTTCTGCTATTTTTTTGGTTACCTTTTATTTTGGTTCTGCAAATCATTGCCTGTGCACCTCCTCTGTAAGATCCCTGGTTACGCCCCTAAACACAGTCAAACAAACACGATAGAATAGAATTCTTCTTGTTATCCTTTATTCCCTTAAATATTTCTTTAAAATTCTCAATCAAACGATATCTTTCTTCGAAACCTTGAAACCATTGAAATCTAAGTAATATGAGTAGTATCTAAGTATTTTGGTTCGCAATGCAATATGGGATTTATATCATTAAAAAACGGCGCGATTATTTTGCCACAAGCACCCATCATGCATTTCACTTCAACGGTTCTAACAACGCTACTAATATTACTAGAACTATTCATTTATAAAGTTAAAAAATTTAAGTTTGGTTAACTTTGTCATGCAGCAGCCATGTTGGCTTGAACAATAGATTTTTGCTCGCCTCTCATTCAAGCACTTCAAAAACAAAGGCTTTAATGGACAACTTCCACGATATGGCAGCCATCTTGGATTGCAAGGCATGGGGGGTCCAGGGGGCAAATCAAGCTTTTCTTACAGTAATGATGTCGATTGATATTAACAGCTCACTACAAGAGAATACAACAAAAGATGAAGTAACACAGCTCATCAATCACCTTTACCCATAAAAGAAAGACAAACACACGAAACTCTATATATTTTCCATCATCTTTGTCTTGTTTTGCCCCCTGGCAAGATGGCCGCCGTATCATCGAAGTAGCTCATTCTCGTTGGAATAAACATGGCTGAGGTCAGAGTGTGAAAAAGGCCTATCTAGACAAACACAACTCAAATACCAAAAACCTTTAACTTTTAAGAACTATATTTAATCTGAAAACTCTAAAAAATGGAACTACATAATAGATTAAATAAAACTTGGAGTGCAGGACTTGAACCCATCATAAAGAACTTATTCGATAGCCTACTTTCTCACGGGTTTACTAAACTAACTGCTCTCAACAGGCTTATTTTAACACATTTTTTAAAATTCCTATTGATTATATTTTAAACAATGTCACCATGAATCCAGGTCAAGATGGGAGTCTTCATAGCTTAAATATAATAGTCAAATTATTTGCGAATTTTATTCGTTTAACGTGATCAATTTTGTTTTATCTTATTTGTATTTTCTTCTTCTCAGTCGTTATTCTCAGCCTTAGGAGACCTTAGGAAGCCTATGTCATTCGCATAACGTGACCTATTTTGTTGTAATAATATATTATTTGTAATCCAATATTTTCTTGTATAAAATCGCTAGCACTGAAATTTAAAAAGTATTAAGGTTCAAGGGATGCGTGCATCCCCTTTTAATTTGGACTATGCATTATAAGGTTGACCCCCAAACTGGCCTTGATACTCCCCTGACTTAATGAGGACATGTGGCATCCTGGCCTATTATCAAACCATTATTTTCCTCCCTGGCTGAGGATTTTATCAGCCCGTTTTGCATGATCTCCTGAGTAGTAGTCGTCGTGTCTGAAGTTTTACTTTTATTGCGGGAACCTTTACCTCGGTGTAGTAATAGAACCATAATGCTTATAATATGTCCAAAGAAATACATGGACCTGAAAATAAAGGGAGAGAGAAAATATATGTGTAATGATAATTATTAAATTAAACCGCAGCCCGGTTAGCTCAGTTGGTAAGCGCGGTCTGTTGTGCGGGAGGTCGTGGTTCAAGCCTCGGCCGGACCTACACTCAGGGTCTTAAGATAACTAAAGAGAAGGTGCTGCCTTTGTAATTACATCTGCAAATGGTTA